ACTCACAGCCTGTTTTTACATTATATATATTAATATTTTCCTGTTGAATTTCTTTTTTGTTTTTATTTCTTTCTCATGTATTTAATCATATTATTATTACAAGTTAGGTTTTAATTAATTCTCATGTGGATCGACAGTGGCAGATTTTGAGGGGTTGAAGAGGCACTGGTCCGCCCCGTTGTAAGCAGTTTTTCAATAGAAGTCAGTAAAATCGTTCAAAAAAAGTCGTCAACCTCACTACCACAAGTGTTGGCCTCCTCCGTGATAATTTTGCCTCTCCCCCTGTTAAAGTTGTCTGGATCCGTCACTCACTGTGTATGAACCCTAGGCAAGAATTGCATAGCATTAGAATCCAATCGGAACAACCGCTGCAGAACTAAGCAGTAATATCCAAAATAATTTAGTAGGCTCGTGTTACTTTAATGTTGGATTCTGTCTGATTAGGATAGTTATTGAAAGTTAAGATAGTTATTGAAACAATATACCGCAACACAGAATATTTTATATAAGAACAAGGGCTGTACCGAAATTGACGTATTCAAATCCGACTTGGCGACAACTTTGGATACAAGTAAAACCCTGCACAAATCCACGGCCGATTCGATTTTTTGCCGGAGCCGGATTTGAGCCGGATTTAAAAATGGGCAAATTTTGATCGGAGCTGAATTTCGTTGCAGCCTTAATAAGAACCTAACAGAGTATCAACACTTACCAGTGGCCAGGCCAGAAATTCGCTCTGCAGAGGCACCCATGAGTTTTAAAAAAATTTACAATCTTTTTTTCCCTCTCACTCAATTTTTAAACTAATAAAAAACAGTAGTTTACCTCAATTTTATTTTTGCGGAGTTAGAAATGTTTTCAATCCAAATTTTTTACATTTTAGTCTTATAATTTTCACTGATTTTGTAATAATAATAATAATAATAATGAAAATGTTATTATTTTTTTATTGTTGTTATTATCGTTTCAAACAAACAGGTTGTATGTAGTAACGTCAAAACAAGCTCCAAAAACAAAACGTTTGGTTAATTTATGGGCTGAAAGATGATGACGGTGATGATGGGGATGGTGATGATGGGGATGGTGATGATGGGGATGGTGATGATGGGGATGGTGATGATGGGGATGGTGATGAAAATGATAATGATAACGATGATTATGAAAGTTGTGATTGTGATGACGATGACGAAAATGATGGTGATAGTAATGGTGATGATAAATTTCCTTTATTTGATGAAGATTATGACGATGATGATGGTGGTGATGAAGACAATGAGAATGGTAATGAATGATGAGGATGACAACAATGACGACAACGATGGTGATGATGATGATGATGATGATGATGGTGATGACGATAATGTTGATGGTGGTGATGATGATGATGATGATGACGATGATGATGATGATGATGATGATGATAGATAATGGAACGTTTGCTTGAGGCGGTTTAGAATGCAATTAGGTTAAAAAGCTTTCGATAATTCGATAATTATTTTGCTATACTCGATCAAGTATTTTTTTTGTTTCTGGTTTTACGTTGAAAAATTAATATAAATATCAAATAAATAAATCAGGATATAGGTGAAACGGTTTTTTATTTTCAAAAAAATTTTTTTTCATTAAAGATGTTTTTGTTTAAACAGTTTTCAACCAAATGAATTCACATTTACAATACCCTTGGTGTTATATACACCACACATGTCAAGATTGCATTTTTGTGCTGTGAGCGCTACCTTTCGAGTGAATAAACAAACAACATAAATTTATTAGGCAATTTATTTTGAAATTTTATACAAATTTTTATTATAACTATTGTCTTAGGGCTCTCCGTGAAGAAAAATTCACTATCTATTAACGTTTTATGACTCTCATCTCCCTTCCGTCACAAACTATTTCAAGTTTTCGAAGCCCTTCTGTAAGCGCGCCAGAATTTTTTGCCCGTCTCTCTTAAAAGATACAACTTAGTTGTTAGCAAATTAAATTGTTTTAAGCCAACTATCAGTACTGTCAAAATATTAATTATTTGGCAAACAATGGTTTTAAATTCACATCAAATACATTTAACACCGCTAAATAGTACAGATAAACATGTATAAATAACTTTATTATGAATGAAATGAAGAACACAAAATAAAACCTCACTGAAGCAAATATTTTGTATGACTTCTTATAACTTAACATAACATTTTATAAAGTTTTTTGACGGAAATTTTATAACAAAATTCTTGTTAGTTCATATTAGTTGTTTGAAATTGGAAAAGGCGAAACTGGACGTCACTTTAGATTTTTTTTCTCCCCATTCTTCCTTTGCCACAAAGTGTCACAAATTTGTCAGCCATATAAAACCATAACAGAAAATAAACTTGATCCGGTTAATTAGGCATCGCCAACACAATGGAACACACATTGAAACATTTGAATAAACACAAACAGCTCAACTTAATGCACGAAATATTCATTTAGTGAAGCCTTCTTATTTCTTTCTTCGTGTAACAAGTTTAGGCCCATATTAAACTTTATCACTAAACTGTGTGCAATGTGAATAACATTGTATGTATACCATATATAAATCTATCTTTTGTATGTTTGTATATTTAGATTGTGTGTGCACGTATGTGTGTATATGTTTATATGTACAGTTCAGGCATGTATATGTGTGTATAATATAATTCTCATGTGTTTAGCACCTAAACTATGTGTGCATACTTTTCGTCTATGATGGAGTCCCAATATTTAAACAACTGATTTGAACATTTCGACTCATTTGAGTTAGATGAAAAATATGTCTCTCTCTCTCTCTCTCTCTCTCTCTCTCTCACACACACTTCTCTCTCTTTATATATATTTATATATAATGAATTTCAAATTTAAAATGTAAATATTATCAACAACATAACGAACTGTTTTAACGTTCAAACTGTGTCATTTTTAAGCTGTTATCTGAATGATTATAGTTGCATCGTGTCTCGTTAAATAACTTTCTGCAAGTTTGTGAATTATAGTTTATAATTTTATACCTTTGTTAACAACAGTTTTAATGTTTTTTTTTAAATATATATATAAATATATATTCTTATATTATATATACATATACATGAATATATATGTGAATATATATATATATATATATATATATTGGGTTTAGACTATCAATAATATAGAAGATAGAATATTGGTATTTTTCCAATAAAGAAACACATGATTTACTTTAATTCTAAATAAGTTACAATCAAAGTCGCTGTAAAAACAAAGACACAAATACGGAACAATACTGTATAACTACACTGATGATGGCAGTTGATGCCGGAAAAAGTTCTTCTGTAGTAATAACGTTATTAATAATGTTTTGTCAAAAATGTAAAATATTAATAGTTTTTTATTTAATCTTAATAAACTTCATCAAGATGATAAAAGTCTCGTTAGAAAAATTGAGAAACTCAACTACAAGTTGAATAATGCCGAAAACGCAGTGATCTTTATAAATAATTGTATATATATATATATGTATGTATGTGTGTGTGTGTGTGTGTGTGTGTGTGTGTGTGTGTGTGTGTGTGTGTGTGTGTGTGTGTGTGTGTGTGTGTGTGTGTGTGTGTGTGGTGTAGAAACCGGTTAATTGGACCACCAGTTAATAAGAGCGTTTCGGCCAAGTCACTGTCATCCGATAAAGCGGTTTCTACAGTATATGCTTGATATTCTCAGTGGCTATGGCTCACCCCAGCAAACATTTGGCAGTTTTTGGCACTTCCGTCGAATTTCAAATTTTGACGTCATAATTTTGTTGACCTCAAAGACGCCTAGATCCAGTCCTCAATGTTTTAACAAAAATAAATTATGTATCTTAAATGTTTCTGATCATTTTTGACAATTATTTCATGTTGAAAAATTTTTATAACTATTTTTTATTATTCTTTAAAGAATCAGCATCTGACAGACGCAGATACTGTAACAGCATGTTACAGCATAACTGGCTAAATTAATCATAATTTTGCAGCTATTTCATAGTGACGAACATGAACAGTTATGTGGTTTGTGTTGAACGAATGTTTACAATTTATTAAGGTTTTTTGTTGTTTATATGTTTAAATGTTGTTAGTAGGATCAAGATTAGTTCACATTTGTATGACAAACTTTTAAAATGCATCTAATTTGTTTAAATGTTTATGAATTGGTCGAAGGTTTTTGAAATGTTTATATGTTCATGAATTGTTCGTATGTTTATGAATTGTTCATATGTTTACAAATTGTTCATACGTTTATGAATTGTTTATATATTTATGAACTGTTCGTATGTTTATAAATTGTTTATGCAATTATGAAGTGTTTTGTACAGGCAGACTGCTGTGCACTTACAATCATCAGGCACTGAGTTTGATACGATACGTTTCGCATGGTGTGAATTTTGTTGTGCTGTGGACCGGCGAGTCGTTTGAGTTCAGTTGAAATGGATTGAGACAACTGGGCAAGTAATTTTTCACGTGTTTGGAAGCTTTTTTCTGAAATTTATAGCGAGGATAAAATTATTTTTGTAACAGTTTCGAAAAATTTTTAGAATAAAGTTTAAGAAGAAAATTGGATTTATTAAATTGGAATATTATTCAATTGTGATTATCAATATAAAGTAAATGGAGTTGAGTTGTAACGCATGCATCATGCACGGGAATAACAATGACATTTTCTGACGTAACATCATCAACATGTTCGTTTGAAAAACAACATCAATAAATTCAGCACTATTTTTATCAATTTTCACTACAATCCTTGATATCTGTTGAATTGACAACAACATTAACTTCAACAACGTTTTCAACAACAACAACAACAAATATTTGCAGCCCCAACAACATCGTCAACAATCAACAACATCGTCAACAACATCGTCAACAATCGTCAGCATGTTCCACGGTAGTCAAAAAGTTGTCGAATCATTTTTCAGGAGAACTCGTTTCAGGAGATCGAAAAAGTTGAGATCATCATTTAGGGGTTCCTTCATCAACAGACCAAGCTCCGCCCACAGGTCAACTCCATCCAATCAGGATCAAGTTAGGTCAACACCAGCCAATCAGGATCAGGGCCCCACAACAACCAGGTCACGCAGTGAAAGGGCTCAGTTCAAAATAAAAATCAAGCGCAAGAAATCGAACAAGATGGCGGACAGAGTCATGAATACTAATGAGGATGTTGTTGTTGGTGGTGGGGATGATGATGATGTGGTTGACTATGTTGAAGGGGAGGAGCTACCGCTGATTGACAGGACAGGTTAGATCAGAATATTATGAAATTAATTTCTCTCTGCGCTGATCTTTGAATTTCACGTGGTTAACATTTAGATGAGTTTTGTTTAGTATTTTATTTTATTTAAACTAACAAGTTGAACTTTAACAATTTTTACTAAATTGTCGTTAACGATGTTACAAACTAAATGAGTTGAATTAATAACAAAAGAACCCGCTTTTAACAGAAAAAAATAACTCCATGACCAGCGTCCAGCATTCAATAGCATCATCATACTTAAACTTCATCAATTTAAAATCTCATCCGATCAGACTGATAAAATCTTCTCTTAAGTAAATCTGTAAGGTTCTGCTAAATTGTGCAGTTTACTGGCTGACTGGTTGAAAGCTGATCGTTAACAACTCAACCGAAACACTTAGTAAATATTTATAAAACTCTTAAAATTCATTTTATATCAAATGTGTGAGGCGATATTTTAAAACTAAATATTGCTTGTGTTTATAACGGATAATTTTTGAACTTTGAAATAACAAACTATTGTTTGTCTGTCTGTTTGTTTGTTTGCTCGATCGTTCATTTGTTCGTTCGTTCGTTCATTTGTTTGTACGTAGATGGATGTATGATTGGTTAGGAAAAAAAACTATAGGGACGGATAGACTGGTGGATTTTGACGCATTAATAACTTTATGGATGAACTGAGCAACGACTAGACAAATTAGAAAAATTAGGGTGAAAGTAAAAATTGTATGAAAGAAAAGAATGGGCGAGTGAAAGATAGAAAAACAGAAAAGGAAAAAGAGAGCAAGAGAAAGTGAAAGAGAGGGAGAGAGAGAGAGAACGAAAGAGATAAACAGGGAAAAGAATAAAAAGAACCCAACTTGATATTCTCAGATCATACAACAACCGGCTTGATGGAAAACAGATTGGAATGAAATGATATCGTCATGTGAGTGAGCGATTGAGTTGCACAGTTGAGATTTTTAACTCACTTGTTAATGCCAGTCAAGTTGTTGTTGTCGTTGTTCAATGTTAATGTTTTTGTTTTAATTAATGTTGTTGTTATTCGAATGGTGTTTGTTATAATGGTTGTTGCAATGGTTGGTGTTGTTGGAGTCTTTCTGATACCATTGCATTACTGCAATCTTCAGTTGGCTATTGTTGGCTATATTTTCAAATGAATGACCTATTGTTAATAATGACATGGCAATCTATTGTTTGTATAAATGTTTTTTCATTGCTGTTCTTAGTTTTTTTTTGTTTTATTATTATTGACGTTCATTCATTCTTTTCTTTGTCCTTTCATCATTCATTCATTCTATTGTTAGTTAGTTAGTTAGTTAATTAATTAATTAATTAATTAATTAATTAATTAATTAATTAACTCATTCATTTATTCATTCATTCAATCATTCATTCATTCATTATTAATCAATTAAATAATTATTCATATAAATCCGAACTTTGTAAATTAATAACTATAAAAATCATTTCGATTCAATTCTAAATCAGAGTGAATTCTATACAAAACATTTAGAATAAATGTTTGAAATAAAATTATTGAAAAGTTAACAACCGAAATATTATGTACCTGCCTATTGAATGTATTCTACGTTTTAACCTTGCTACAGAGATGTTTAAATACATTACATATATAGTATGTACATATGTACATTAATATAATAATATGAAACTGATAAATGCTAACATTAACCTGGTATCTTCTTATCGATAGGTTTCGCCCAACAATTTCGTTTGTTTCCAATTTTAATAAAATTTTGGGTTTTTAATGAACCACTTTTTATGGTTTAAAATTTCATTTTATTCATTTTTGAGATTTAATTTTTAAACTAAGTGCATTATTTATATCAATAGATCAATTTCGTGCACACTTCTTTCAATTTGACCAATATACAACTATACATTATACTATTAACTTTAATTATGAGACTACATTATGGCAAAAAACAGTCTTGGTAGAAGTTATCCCTCCTACTTTTTAAGAATATTGATCGTAAGCAAGTGCTCAGTTGTTCTGCATAATCATTTGAAAAATTAAAAAATGATTTTATGCCAACATCGTTGGTACTATTCAACTAAAATGAACCTTAGAAGAACCTGAACAGTCCCAGCGGATCCAGACGAAGGAGAGGGGCATTTTTTTCCCTTTTCGCGCATCTTTTTTCGCCAATTCTCAAAATAAAACGATGCTTTTTATCTTTTCTGAAAAAGATGTTTCATCAATAAATACAATTTATTGCTATATGCTGGCTAAACTTAGCCGATATGTTGATAACGAGTCGACTCGCCTCCACTGTCTTCCACTGTCAATAGTGTCCCACCGACATGTAACTAATCACAAGTGTCCTTCAATGTTTCTAACGTAAATTCTTTCAAAGGCCGATTTGAACCATCCACATGGAAACCTGCTTCGTGCTCATGATTAAAGTTTACTGAAGTTAAAATGTCATTCAATTTGCTTTATTTTATCGATAAAGTGTTATCGCTTGGGGCAACACATGAGTGACAAAATAATGAACCAGTACACACACACACACACACGCACGCACGCCCGCACAAACATAGAAAAAAACAAAAACAGAAGCATGACACATAAACACATTTAAAGTATAATCTGTAAAACGTGCACAACGAACGACAGAAACAAACCAAATGGCCGACAATAAACTAGCTCATGAACGAAATGAGCGCAAGTACCCTACATGCACTAAAGATGTAATAAACAACTATAGAACATACATATATACATACATAAATATAGAACATACATTTTTACATATAAAGGCACTCAAAACGACGTGCAAGCAACGCTTAAGAAGTAGACATTCATAAACAAATCAATTAACTAGTAACAACTTTGTTTTGTTTTGACTTTCATGAATCTACCTGCTAAGTAAGTTATCCCAATTCAAAAAATACACCTTTAATGTTATACATTTAGATTCACTTTTTAAAATACCATCTTCCTTATTTTTTTCAAGGAGTGAGTTTGCATACGATATAAAAATATTCAGGGCCCTTAAGAGCCAAATCGAAGGCTGGGTCAGATGATATTTGGCCTCTCTAACCTATTAAAACACTACATGTAGCAACACTAACTGTAACTAGCCACCCTTATTAATTTAAAAAGATTAAGCAGGTTTTTTATTTATACAGAAAAACTCTTGATTTAACAATTGTTTTATTTAATATTATTTTTTATTAATAATATTTTAAACACCTATTTGAGGTACTTTAAATCCGAAGACCTATGTAAAATGCCTTGCCTGTTGTTATCTATACAGATATATAAGACGTATGTACAAAAAGAATGTTTGTTAAATATGTATATATACAAATTATATAAATGTGTGTTTTCTGTAATTGTAAGTTTGAGTGTGTGTGTTTACCTAATGTGTTTATTTGCTATGGATGCATTTGTTGATTCATTCGTATTCTGATAGATTTTCGATGTTTCAATATGTTTACAAAACGGATACTTAAGCTTAAACGGTTACGATGTTGTGTATTGTTTTTATATATTTAGTCTTTGTGTGTTTGATATTTCAAATTTAAACACAATGAATGTGTGTAGGCAACTGTAGAAAGTTATAACTTGCCTGTTGGGGGTTATTTTTGACGGTATAGTATCTGGCAATAAGAATTGTCTTGGACAGGAATAAAATATATTTGAAATATGGTTCTATTAAATTTATTGCAGTCCTATTTTTTATAGATTTTTTTAAAACAGGTAATCCATTTACATCTTATTATTTTGAGTGTAAGTTGATACGCGAACATGCGTAGGTATCTAGTCGACTCATTAGCACTGCTGGAGCGAAAACAAGAAATCAACGATACAGACCTATCAAAAACTGGCCTACAATTGACTTCATCTGATGAAATAGTAAATATAGAAATAAAACGAAAAAAATAATATAAAATAAATTGACGATAACAACGCAAATATTTTGTACATACTAATCTTTTTGTGTGTGGTGTGTGTGTCTGTCTGTGTGTGTGATGTTTATTAGGAAGAGAGTGAGCGAATAAGATGGGAGAAAATGAGAGAAGAGACTTCTCGAAGGCTGTCTGAGAATGTTTATGGATGTAAATGTTTGTGGATATAAATATTTGTGGATGTGAATGTTTGTGGATATAAATATTTGTGGATGTGAATGTTTATGGATGTGAATGTTTATGGATGTGAATGTTTGTGGATGTGAATGGTTGTGGATGTACATGTGCATATGAATGGCTGTGAAATGCGGACGTGTGCGAGTGTGTGCTTGTGAGAAATGTGGAAATGTGTGGAATATATGTTAAAATATAGACATATTAAAATAATAAATGGATATAAAACAATGCGTATTATATATTATTATATATATATATATATATATATAGAGAGAGAGAGAGAGAGAGATAGAGAGAGAGAAAGATAGAAAGAAAGAAGGAGAGAGAGAGAGAAAGATGGTTGAATAAACCTATGGATGGACCGATGGACAAATAAATAAATGGGATAATAGAGAGATCGGTAAGTAAATGAATAAACGGATGAATGATCGGACCGACTGACGGTCAGATGCATTGATGGATGCATCAATGAATGAATAGAAGGATGGTAATAAGGATGAATGAAATATAAATTTCAGAGCAGAAAATGTCTAAAACTTGAATGAAAGAACGTGCGTAAGTAAAACAGCCGTCTGAAGAATAATGATAATAATAACCATTCATTTTGAAGTATTAAATTTCAAACAATTATCTCCACCAAACGTCAGCTCCAGTTCATGATTTATAAAACTGTTTGGATTTTATTTGAAAACTGAAAAACTATTTATACATTATATATATATATATATATATATATGCACGCACACATACACACACACATATGTGTATATTTGTTTGTTAGTTTATATATAGAAAAATATGAGAAAATAAAAATAACAAAAAACTATTTTTTCATAATGTACGATCATAATGTATTTTACAAAAGATTGTTACATAAATCTATTTCTATTATAAATAACACGCATCTCTCCGCTATATATATTACGTTCGTAATGTTACATTTGCCAGAGCTAGCACTTAAAAAGGCGCGATTTTTTTCTGTGTTATTTCATATAAGCCTTCACGAAAGCGTACTTTAGTCTGTTGCTGTCTGTTGCTGCTAGTCTCGCGACCACTGATCTCTTCGAGTTTTTTGTTGTTTAAGTTTTAAAATTATCAAGATGTGAGCAGCTTTTTATTCTCCCTTGCTCTTAAATAAAAGTCTGTTTAAAATGCTGTTGGATTTTTGTTGGTTTTCTAAAATTAATTATATAACAAGTGTA